AAGGAAGCAAATCCGAGTTTTGATGACTGGGACTGCGTTGATTTCAGGCCACACAGCCGAAAGCAATTCCAGCCACCCCCTGCAGCATGTAACTAGTCTGTTAATGGAGGTATTTGAGGATTTACCAAGCGCTGATTTAAAAGTCCCGTTGTAATTACGCAACACACTGCAGGATTGTGCTGTCTGACACACGCCTCCATCCTCTTCCAATCTACAGCACTAGCCCTGGCTGCCGTGACATTTACACAGTTTCACTGCTTTTCAAAAATACCCCCTCGAGATGTAGGACACTAATTTCTTTCACAAGGCCAGAACCTCAGCTGAAGTCAATGGAGCGGTGCCGATTTACGCCAGCGGAAGGCCTGACCTGCATTCCTTACCGAGAGAACCAGCAGAAATTGGCCAACAAGAAGTAGGCCACCATTGGAAGAGTTAAAACAGGAACATTTGCATCCCAGTCCACTGCATAGAGACTGTAGTCCCCTCCCCCACACCTCATATGTCTCATTAGTTAAAACAGCAGCATTCTGTTGGGGGCTCTTCAGAATTGTTGCTTTAATAGCAGGATCGAATAAACCAGCCACTGCCCACAAGGAAAGATGGGCCATGTTAACCCATCATTGGACCCTACACAAACGTACATTTCAGGTTCGGCTCGGCCGCCCCTCTGTCGTGGCTTTGCAACCTGGCGCGCAGAGTCACGGTGCCGCTCAGGTCTGGCCCGTCCATTTTGGGCTCCTCCCAGGAATGTGGGCCCTAGGTACATGCCTTGGTTGCCTATGTGTTAATCTGGCCTTGAGCATTGTCTGCTGAGAACGAGAGTCAGGGAAATATGGGCCATGACCCCTTAGCACCAAAATAAGCTCCAAAACAAGCCAAGGGCTGAGGCTTGTGTTCCGAAGCCAGGCCGGGGAGCAGTGGGCAGAAAAGGAAGAGGTGTGGGCAGGAGACGTGCAGGTCCCCCACCAAGGGGCTTCCTCACTAGGGAAAAGCAGGATGTTCTTAACGAAGCTGAGGTAAAATCCTAGTGAAGACGAGGCAGTATGTAGCTTTCATGAGTTAGCAGGTCAAGATAAAGACTATGGGGGATCTTAGGACTTACCTTGACCTGATAACCAAACTGTGTGGTCTTCACTCAGATTTTACCTCACGTTACCTAGGAGGGCGGGCGGCACAGCCCCAGCCCCCCTCAGCCCCAGGAGGGTGGGCAGAGCGGCCCCAGCCCTCCCCCAGCGATGGAGCACGAGGGCAGGTGGCCCGGCCTGAGCCGGGGCCACCGCACGGGGGAGCCGCAGAGCAGGAAGCAGGAGAGGGAAGGCATGGGGGGGCCAAACGTGGGCAGGGCCCCACCTGTCTGTTCGGGGAGTGCAATGATACTCACCTGACAGCCTGCCCCAGAACGAGCACAGATTAGTGACACCAGAAGCCAGGCGTTACGGTTTCTCTACCTTGGGGGCTGCACTCACATCCACTGCCAGCAGGCAGTGATTTGCAAGAGCCCTGGTGCTGCTGTCTCCACAGCTCGAGGATGGCTAGGCACAAAACATTCCCAATGGCTCAGCTTCCCCTCCCCCCTCTGGTTCGGACAGCTGGGATGACTTAGTCCAGATTTGTTCCGCAGGGAGGAAGATCAAAACAGAATATGGAAGATATCAGATTACAGAATGAGTCAGCAGCAAGATCACTCTCTCCAGGGCCAAAACCACGCATGTGAGCCGGGAATGTAGTGCAAAGGCACCCAGGAGAAGGAAGAGCACCTGTACCTTTTCCCTAAATCAGTCATGATTCAGCTGGCAAAGGGAGAACAGAGTGAGTGTTTGGATCCCAAACAGGGAAGTTGCTTTAGAACTGTACATGAAAATACCTTATTTAGTCCTAGCCCAAAGCTGTCAATTATGTTTTCACGTGGTTGACTTAAGTTTTGAATGGAATCCAGCCTTGTAAAACACAACATGGTGAATCTCTTCTGAACAGGGAGAAGATCTGTCTGCTTGTCACCACCTGAACTTTTGGCTTCAGCAGACTTGCCCAGAGGAAAGAAAGAAAAGCAAAATTGCACCACTCCTGGCCTCCTCCCATCTCTCGCTTGTGACAAATCACCCCAAGAAACCAAACCAAACCATGTCCATCACAACACACAGGCCATGAATATGTCAGCATGTGAGAACATGCCAGGGGACCTTCACAAGCCTGTCCTGGAAGGTCCTGCTACAGTTGCTCCCAGAAAACACACACTAAGCTGTTTCAAACACAACTATTTTGCCAAATGTTTACATGTTTGCTTGTTACTCACAGGTCTGGCAAACAGAGAGATTGTTCAAGGCTATGTGCATATTGACCCTTGTGAAAGAGCATTCTAAACAGTTAGTAAATACAGCCCCACCCTCTGACAGCCCCTGAAACTCTATTCAGAGATACAGCAAATCAAAAGAGAGCTGGTCAGGGAATTATTTCCCCCATGAAAGATCTCGGGTAACATTTTCAAAAGTACCTAGGTGACTTTAGGAGCTGAACTGCCATTGACAATCAGTGGGGCATAGGCTCCTAGAGTGACTCCGCTGCTTTGGATGAAAATTTCTTAACTGTCTCTAGTTTTTAGCCACTGGTGGAGGTGTGCTGCTGCAGCTGCATCTGTTCAAACCCCAAGTCTAGACGGGCAGTCCGCGATACACTGTGACGGGCATCCTGGGTAAGCTACCCCGTGTGAGACATTTTCAGTGTGTCTACACTAGGGGTTTGCACCAGTGCAGCCACGTCACTGTAGCTACACTCATGGCTGAAAGCCTAATGTTCTGACTTGTTTCAATGCATTGCAATGTGCCTCTGCACCGGGCCCGCACAGCTGTTCCATGTATGTTCTTCTCTATACAATGAAGAGGCTTCCACTTTATGCTACTTCTAATTAAGGGAACAGGAATGCATTGTGGGAAATGAGGCAATAAATAGGTTTCCTCTCTCAGCTAAAGGCACTTAGAAGCAAACTCATGGAGACTGATCAATGTTTAATTTTCTCCAGGTACATGTCAAAATGTTCTTTCCCCAATCTGCTGACTCCGAAAACCCCACAGAGTTAGCAGAACAATGCTTATATAAGGTTGTGCAAAATTCCTTCCTTAAACCTGAACCTTAACTCATAGCAATGAAACACAGGACAAAAGGATGGTGGAAACTTCCTTCAGGAAGATTGCCAGGAATGGGTACCCAAAATACATCATCCGCATGAATGTACAGACAGTGCTAGTTGCTCAGAGTTTAGTAACAATAAAAGGATCCATTCTCTCCTTGATATATGCTTATAATTCCAGAATGGACAGTAATTTACTTTCCGCTGTATAAATGTAAATGATCATTTTCCTCAATGACAGTTGCTTGTGTGATTGGAGGTTAATCTCTAAACGACTTATATACTAACCCCAGTGCATACACACAGTGACAACTGACTTCACCAGAAGCTGAGCGTGTGGACTAAGGGGAGTATGAGCCAGAGGGCCAGATCCTCAGCTGGTGCAAATCGACACTGAGTAAAGTGACAGACCTATCTAGAGCTAGGGGACCTTTAAAGGGAGGTTCTCTCTGGCTTGAGGGGCCTTACGAAACGTTTTGTGGGACAGAACCATGTTCACGTCGAGAAGCAGCTAAAATGGTCCTTTTTGTTCTGTTTGGACTATCCCTAGTTTCTTCCTTTCAAAAAAATTCCACATGCCGTAGTGACATGCAATTGCTTTGTTCCTCCAAAGACATCCTGTAACACACAGGGCAGATCACCTTCAGGGTATGTGAGGGCTGAAATTTCATATGGCAGCAAGGTAGTAGTACTGTATGCCATGCTTCCCAAGGCAGCAATACATTTGAAGCCTGCAGGGAGCACTTGCTTCAGAAAAAAGGGCCTTAGAAACAGCAGTGGAGACAGTGCACGCTCTCATTTTCACCGTTTACTGTTGAAACCCATAAATTAATTGCATGAAGGTCTTACAAACCATGCATGTCAGAGGCTTTGGGGGCACTGGTATCTGAGGCCCTCTTGCAGTATGATGGGATGAACAATCACACACTCAAGACGGGAGCAGCTTAAACAGCAGCAGCAGTGACATAAAATCTCTATGAGGTTAGACCAGAGTGACCAAAACGTGTCTTGTGAGTCAAATGTAGCCCATGGATTTCTACAATGCAGTCTGTGGACACCCTCAATCTTTAATAGGGAGGGTGGTGGTGGTGGAAACAGTTGATGATACATGTGCAACGCCTTGGAGAACTAGAGGTCCCAGAATTCAATGCTCCATAAGTGAAATAACACCCACTGCCTTAAAGAGGAGACCATTTCCAATCTGCTTTGCTTAATGCAAAGTACCTGCAGCCCTGGAGCTCTGGGTAAGTTGCCCAAGTGATGTTCAGTTGAGCAAATTTGGTTGTCCCAGGTTAGACTGACTGAGAAATGACTCACTAACTCTACAGTCAGAAACCCCATTTATCTAACTAGGACAAATGAGCTTTTGGGGGAAGGCAGAAGACTTAAATGCAAGCTATTCACGCTGGGGCATGTAACCCACTGTTAGCCATTAGAGGATTTCAGATAAGATGGGTCCAGATAAACGAGGTATTACTGTTTTAAAAAAATATGCTGGTATGTACATCATCCCCTTTAGAAAAAGCAACCTATATGTAATGCCCTTTAAAGACCCTCTCCCAAATCAAACTAACAACCTTCAGGTTGCTTTTAGCACAGATCTTGCCTTTGTATTGTCTTAAATAATCTGTGAATCCAGAACCAGAAGGGAATCTTTTTGCTTCATTCTAACTTTGACTCCTGAGTTGCTTGGTTCACACAAGTGCTTGTTTAAACTCTGGATGTATCAAGCCATGGGATCCAGAAGAGGATAGATTATACTTTGCTGGGCAAAGTCTCCTTCGCAAGGACACTTACTGGTACATTCAGCAAATGTTGAAACAGGTTGAAGCTTTTTCTGGTAGCCCTTTATTATGTAAAAAGCCCCTGAAAAGATGCTCCATTCTAGGGTGCGACTATCTTTGGAGATTCCTCTTTTTGTTAAGTTTTCACAAAATACAAAATTAAATGCATTTTCTACTTACAGAACCAAGGCTCAAGTAACTGACTAGCATATGTACAACAACTTACACTTTGTCTTGTTTTTTAAAAATATAAATATCAATAATGTTCAGGAGTATCATGGGTTGGTTTTATTTTTAAGGCTTCATTCTTTCAGATCCTTCATTATTTAACGACAGTGCCTCACTTTGATTGAGGTGTGGGGGCAGGGGGGAGCAGAGGCAACCACACCATGTTACCAAAGATGACATGTTTGTTCATGATAAGCTGGCCCATTCAAAAATAAGTGCCTCCTCCTCATACCTTGTAGCCAGAGAAATCGTTCACCTCCCTCTAGCGTGAGCCAGGTTAGATTAAGTTTTCATACTGAGCTCTCCGGGCGATGGCATAGGGAGAGGAATGCAAACTGTTTTTTTCCTTCCTTGAATTCTCCTTTTAAACCCATCGCTCCATTGTAATTGTTGAGAGCTCTCCAAAAAGTACTCCGATTAAATAAACTCAAGCAGAAGAGCTGTACCCGAGGCTTGTCTGGGAAAGGTTAAAGCAAAGAGGCAGATGCTGCAGGTAAACTACCGCTGACCCCGGGGTGGGGCTGTGACTGCTGTGGCTGGGGCCGCTGCTGCTGTTGTGTCCATGGGGATGAAGTCTGTAGGGAGGCTTTCCGTCAGGCACTTGAGCTGTTCCTGACCCAGTTTAATCTTGTCGTCCAGCTCCCGCTGCTCTATGAGAAGTGCGGACTTCATCTTCACAAAGTGCTGGTACTCCTGGAGCTGCTCCTCCGAGAGGTAATTGCCCAAAATGTCCAAGACCACACGTTCTCGCCGGTCCAGGTTCTCCTTCAGCTCCCGGGCATCCTCGTGCTGGCCAGCCAGCAGCTTCCTTTTCTCAGTCAGAGAGCTCTGCCACATCAGAGACAGGGAGTTAACATCACAGTGCTAATCCAACGACCTCTTCCCCTCCCCACAGACAGCCTTTCCCTCCTCTGGCAGTGATGGCCTGGGGACTATGCTTCCCCCATACATGGTCACACACATGGAGAAGGGGAATAACATTTCAGTGTGGATCAAACATGAATCCTACTCAGACATATTCTGAAATTGTTTGGTCAACATGGTAATATCTTTTATTGGACCAACTTCTGTTGGTGAGAGGGACAAGCTTTCGAGCTTACACAGAGCTCTTCTTGTCTCACTCACCAAGCTTGAAAGCTTGTCTCTCTCACCAACAGAAGTTGGTCCAATAAAAGATATCACCTCACCCACCTTGTCTCTCTAATATCCTAGGACCAACACTGCTATAACAATACTTCATACAGCATGGTCAACATGGTGCAGATGGGGTTCGAAATTGTTAACAAAACACAATCAAGCCATGGTTTCTACCATGCTTTCTCCCCTATGCATGGTCTGGCCAAACAGAGTTAAAACATGCTTAGCTGGAGCTAGGAGACCACCATTTATCTAGCTATGTGCTGCTTCGTCTGCAGTTCAGCTTGCACAGCTGATGGTAAGACCAGCCAAAAACAAATGCTTTTTTTTAAGTTGCCAAGATGCATGGGGTGAGAGTCATTTGTACAAAATATCAGCCAAGATTCATGGGGCCAGAGTCATGTTTACAAAGGTTTATACCTATGGAACAGGCTCAACTGTTGGCTTCACTTTGGAGGCTACAATCCTATATATGGCTGGGAGTTTCAAAAGGTTCCTAAGAGACTTAGAGGCCTGGTTCCCGTTGACTTTCACTGGGAGTCAAGCACCTAACTCCTTGAAGCCCATTTGAAAGTTCCATCCTATATGTGCGTGTTCTTCTAATCACCCGTTTGTTCAGCACTCTCAAAAATCACCAACGTTCTAAAGTTTACAAAAAGAGACATACCCGCTCTTCAGGATTCACATCTTCACCTAGGCTACTCAGAACGTTTTCTACCCGGGCCAGACGCCCTGAGAGGGAGAGCAAGAGGTTCACCACTTTATCCAGGTCGCCTATGAACATCTTGTATTTGTCAAACTCGTTGGGCTTGCATAACTCGCTGATCAACACCTCCACCTCCTCTCCCAGGGCATTATTCAGCTTGATGTCTGCTAGCAGGCTCTCCTTAGCTTCCTTCAAGATCTCCAGTTTGTGGGACAAACTCGCGATGAGCTCAGCCTGGTAGGAGGGAAATATTATTACTGTTCTTTATGGTGTATGCTGTGCTGTCGGTGTGACCATATGAAAACATGGCCCTGGTCCCATTAGAATGAAAATTCAACAAATGCTGACAATGGTCACAGAGGGATGAGCTGGAGAGAGAGGAGGAAATGGAGGAGACAGTGAAACTCAATGTGAGAAATTTTGAGCTGTTGGCCGAATGATATTAGGATATCTCTTTACTTGTCTAGTAGCCCAAATCGTAACCTGCTTTTGTAATGATTGGGCAAGATTTTTGGTGCCACATCTTGATGCACCACTTGATATACCTTAAAGGGAATATTGAACTTCCCTTCCTTTGTAAAGTGTTTTGAGATCTCTGGATGAAGAGTGCTTTATAAGATTGTATATATTGAAATCAATGGGCGTTAGGCACTTAAGTACCTTTATCACGCTCCCACACCTTCAGGATTCTTGTCTGCATGTTACGTTTTGCATTGTCCTTTGTTCAAATAAATATTATTTTAAAAATTGATTGAAAAAAGGGAGCAACCTTGACTAATTAACCAAGACTCTGGCCTGGGTTGTTATGGTGTAACAAATGTCAGGGCTGGAAGTTGTTAGCTGCATAGTGCACGCTGGATCAAAAAGCCTCCAGGCAAAAGAGGAAAAAAACGTGTCATGTTTTTCCCTCCTATATTTGTCCCTCTTAGAATGCACGATAAAGTGCTAAGAGCTAGGGGCTCCGAAGGGCTTAGACACCTCAGCATCAGGTGCAAGTGCCACTTTCAATTTCAGCTTCAGCCAGAGCCTTGGCAGAACCCACCGCCTGGGCTGGCGTGGCCCTCGGCAAAGAGAAACAAGCCAGCATGTAGCATTACCAGCTAAGGAGAGTTAAAGCTCCTTTTGTGAAAACCCCTGCAGCTGTTCCACAGCCAGTGAGAAAATCACCCTGAAGTGCAGCCAGGCTGTGCATGTCCTGGAGTGCCTGATTCCGATTAGGATTTGGAAGAAAGCAATAAGTACATGCAGTCCCTGGTATGAGGCTGGTAACGCGATCGCTCTGCTTTCACTTAGCAGTAAGCCCCAGCAGAGTGTGCATTCGGAGCCGTTGGAACACCACGTGTTCTGCTTTTGCTTTCAGCTTCCTGGGGAGTAACAATACATCATTATACATAGCGGAATATGCATTGCACACAGAGGCTACCGGGTACAATAGGAGGTCTCCTTCCAAAGAGTAAGTCCCTGGGGTATTGAAACGTTTCAAGGAACAACCCTCTTTCTATCAGAAGTGCTGGTAATTTCACGTAGGCAGACTCTGTGCTTCAAATAAAGTGGATCTTTAACTAGTCAAAAAAATTGTCGTGGAAACCCTGCGGATGCTTGGAAGTGGTCTTTTAAAGCCAGGAGTTGCCCATTACAGATGGTTTTCAATGCAAGCTTCCCTGTATCGAAATAATACAGTATTGTTTAGCCGGTTACCACTAGATGGCTGCATTATTCACACATCTGTTGGAGTCTAGAGCTGTCACCAGCGGTTAGTTTTCTGATTGTACTGGAGTCCATTAACATTTCTGTGACAGTGCCGAGGGTCAGTGAAATGTGAACAAATACTCTTGACCACAGATTTCCGCTGCCCAGGTTCATGGTGATGAGGGATAGCTAAAGCCATTTCATTTTATAGCTGGGAATCCCCAAGGGGAAGATGACTGGTTGTTGGGTACCAATGCAGAGCAGAATGGTTTTTGGAAGGGGGAAGAGAAATTATAGGCTCAGCTCCTGATTCATTAGCATTTACACTGTAAGCTCATCGAGGTAGGGACTGTATCTTCCTATGTGTCAGTGCAGAGCCTAGTCCAATGGGGCTCAGCTGTGACTGGGCCTCAGAGCTACTGGAATACAAACACATCATAAGAATGGCTCAGATCTTGGGTTGTGCTTTGGTCACTTTGCAATGCTCTCCCCTTGCAAAGCGGCTCTAATGTTGGTGAATTCAGCCTTCCCTGTGCAGGCAGATCCTCAGGGGGATTCTCTGAGCCACCATAGCTGCTCCCACACCAACCTCTCGTGCAGCCAGGGCAGGGGGTGTGGCCATGGAAAAGGGGCGTGGCTTGGGAATCCCTATGCCCTAGTGTAGGGTTCCCAAATTTTTTTCCCGGAGGCCCGCTGGTGCAGCTGCAATGGGCACTTCAGCGCAGTATTAACATGTGTCCATCAGGGAGAGGGGCACCACAGGGCGTGAGCTGCCCCTCGCCTCAGCAGGGACCAGGGCCAGCGAGAGGGCGAAGGGGCCAGGCAGGTGCCACAGCCAGTCCCTGCCAACACCCCCTGCCTCAGCAGCCTGCTGAGTCCCTTGAGCTCGTCACCTGCAGCCCTGCCTCAATCAAACACCCAACAGCCTGCGTGCCTCAGACACCCCCTGCCTGGGAACGAGGAAAGGGCCTGAGGGCTGCCACTGCCGGGAAGAGGCCCGGTCGTTACCTTGACGGTCCCCATCATGGCATCGTCCAGGTGGAAACCGAGTGGCACCGCCGAGTCCCGGTACCTGGGGGACCCACGGGGCCAATACTCCAGGGAGCCTGACAGCCACGGATCATGGGGTGAGGCCACTCAGAGCAGAAACAGCTGTGAACCTTCCAGCCTCCTCCACCCACCCTGGGAGCTGTGGCCTCTTGGGGCTCGCCCCTTCTCCTTGCCCTCCATCTGGCAGCTCACTTGCTCCTGGGTAGCTCCACTCAGGGCCGGCTCCAGCTTTTTTGCCACCCCAAGCGGCAAAGAGAAAAAAAAAAAAAGATAAAGCCGCAATCGGCGGCAGTTCGGCGGCTGCTCTACCGCGCCGCTTCATTCTTCGGCGGCAATTCGGCGGCCGGTCCTTCCCTCTGAGAGGGACTGAGGGACCTGCCGCCGAAGACCCGGACGTGCCGCCCCTTTCCATTGGCCGCCTCAAGCACCTGCTTCTTGCGCTGGTGCCTGGAGCCGGCCCTGGTTCCACTGGCTGCAGTGAACTCACTCCAGATTTACACCGGGGTATGGGAGAAAGAACTGAGGTCCTTTGTCTTTTGCAAGGTGCAGTTGTAGTGACCCAGCTAGAATTCATGTGCCTGGGAAACTGGGGGCAAGAGAGTCAGTAGCCAAAGGCGCAAAGAAGGCAGCCGAATTATTACAGTGGCAAATGGGAAAACACCACAGAGCCACTCAAAGGCCCAACGGGAGCATTTCTATTGACTACCATGAGCTTTGGATCAGTGGCGCCACTCACTGAATCTGCAAGTTTTGCAGGAGAACCATGACAGGTTGTTCAGAAGGTTGTCTGTGTATCTCCCTGTCCTTGAGCCCCTTGTACCAGGAGGGTGTCAGGTGGTGGGGGTGGAGGCAGGGAGCAAACATACCTTTTAATCAGAGCTTTGTCTTGGAACGCCTAGGAGTCTGAAATGGACCTGAAAGCACTTGCTTCATATTCATTAATCAGTGACTCTCCTGCCCTTCCAAATGCCAGCTCACACAGTCCTTTGCATATTTACAATGGAAATGTGCTTGGTTTACCCAAATGACCGCTTGGAGTAGCTGCCTCCCCTCATAATACCTATGCAAATGTTACTTCACACAGACGCCCAGCAAACATGCCAAAGCAATCTCGCTAATCACTCAGATCCATTTCTGTTTTCCCACGCAAATGTAACCTTTGATGCTTGGGACTTGTCCTCCCCTGGCAGGCTCACACCTACTTGCTGGCTTGTCAATCCTTCACTACATGCATCTGAATCATTTGCTCAACCCCTTATCCTTTTACTCTGACTTCTGTCTTTTTGATGATACAGGCAGATGGGCGTTTGCTATGTTCAACAGCACTCAAAGAATTAATCCAATGCTGCAAATCTAGGACTGGCTGTAACTAATAAGTTTAAAGTGAAGTGCTCTACAAACTGGGGACTAGGCTAGTTATTTAAACCAGGTGTTAAGTGGGGCGGAAGGCACAAGCTAAATGTTTGTGATAGTTGCGTGTTGTCAACTCATTTATTCAGTGTGCAGTTACTATCCTGCGCTCTGCAGAATCACAGAAACGAGACGAGGCCTGTTACCTTAGCTAGTCCATTCCACTGCCAGGGTTGGATTGCTCCCTACAGAACATTTTCTAGCACATTGCTGAGGTTTATTTTAAATGTTCTATGAAATGGGGCTTCCCAATTCTATCTTTACTTATTGGTATTACGGGTGCACCTAGATGGCCCAAATGATTGGGCTCCCCTGCTATCTAGGTCTTGTACATACACATAAGAAGAGACAGCCCCTGCCCCAAGGAGTTTACAATCACAATAGACAAGACAATGGCTGTCACAGAGCAGACACAGAAGGTGAAACTAGCACTGAGAGGTGAAGGGACTCAGCCAGGCTCACACAGTCCCAGTGTGGCAACTGGCCTGCTAAGACCCAGGTTGCCATATTCCCAGTGCAATGTCCTAGACTCTAGACCAGGGGTGGGCAAACTACGGCCCACGGGACCCTCCTGCCCGGCCCCTGAGCTCCTTCCCAGGGAGGCTAGCCCCTGGCCCCTTCCCTGCTGTCCCCCCTCCCCGCAGCCTCGGCTTGCCCCACTGGCTGCAACGCTCTTGGCGGCGGGGCTGTGAGCTCCTGGGGCAGGGGGCTGGGTGCAGGGAGTGAGGGCTCTGACTGGGGGTGTGGGCTCTGGGGTGGGGCCGGGGATGAGGGGCTCAGGGCTGGAGCAGAGGGCTGGGTGCAGGGAGTGAGGGCTCCGGCTGGGGGTGTGGGCTCTGGGGTGGGGCCGGGGATGAGGAGTTTTGGGTGCAGGAGGATGCTCAGGGGCTATGGTGGGGAGATTGGCACCCCCCTAGCTCTCAATCCCCACAGCAGCATCTGGGCTGTGCGGGGGAGGCACCTCTCCCCGCCGCAGCAGCTCTGGGGCTGGGGCTGTAGGATAGGCGCCCCTCCGGAGGCCCCAGCATGTCCTGGCTGGGGGAGGGCCTCCCTGGCCACGCCTAGGTCCGGGTTGGGCCGCCCTGACCAGGTCCAAGCCGCTCCGGCTGTGCCGCCCTGGTTGCGGCTGGGTCCGGGCCGCCTGGCTGTGCCTGGGGCCGCCCCGGCCACGGATGGGCCTGATCTGGCCGCAGCTGGGTTCCAGGCGGCTCCGGCCGTGGCTGGGGCTGCCCTGGCCATGGCTGGGCCCGATCGTGCCGCACCGCAGCAGAGTTGGGGCCGGGAGAGGGGCAGGTTGGGAGCCAGGCTAGGTGGGGACCGGGGGAGGGGCGCTCCTCCCCCAGCAGGTCCCTGGGCAGGTTTCCTGAGCGCCTGCGCGGTGCTAAATAGGCTGCTGCGCGGCCGCACAGCTTACAGGGAACTTAGGTTGGAAGTGGGTTAAAGCTCCTATGAGAGCAAACCTCCAGTGTAGATGTGACCTCCATTTCTGAAGGGCCTATGAGTGTAGTGTCTAGGGAGGCTGAAGCTGAACAGAGTTGCAGTTCTACGCATCTGTGCCGAGTATGACCCCTGCTGGTCACATGCAGACCAACAGAAACCCACGCTGTGAATTACCTTCTTCTCATTGATGTCCAGCTGCTCCTCTTCCTTGTCCACATCTTTTGGCAAGTCTTTGATTTTATTCAGCAGCTCTGCTTTGGGGGCTGACATGTTATAGTAAGCACTGCAGGTGACCGAAGTTACAGCAGCTTCCTTTTCTTCGCTTCTATACCCCAGTGAAAAAGACGCACAACAGATCCAGAGAGGGGGTTTAGATTAGATAAGGGACTAGAGAAATGTCAAAATCAAAGCGTCAGGGTATCAGCTGGGCTAGTTTATTAATACTGTCTGTTAAGAAGACTGCCGCTTCCCACTAGTAGATGGTGCATGTCAGCCATTTTCAAATCCCTCCACGCTGGGAAAGCCAGCACAATCGCACTGATGTTTGGTTGTCTGCTAACAACTTGTCTAAACACTGGGGCTGGATCCTCAGCTAGTCTAAACTGGTATAGCGCCACTGAAGTCAATTTAATTGAATATCTTATCCAGCATAATCCAGTTATAATTTATTACAGCAGGGCTTCTCCAGCTGTTGCATTTGGCCCTCTATCTTATATTAGGCATTCTTCAAAGTTTTGGGTCATTTTTGCAGCACACTGTAGTGTTTTTTATAAGGGATTCCCCCAGGCTCCCCCCTCCCCGCCCCCCCAAAAATATTGCCTCTCATAAGCTATCTGCTTTCCCAATGATTTGGTCCCGATTCTGTTCTCCCACCAGTTTTACACTGAAGCAATTCCATTGGGTTCAGTGGAGTTACTCCTGGTTACCACGGTGTGAGATCAGAATTAGGCCCTTTCCCTCTGGTTTGGGGGTGTAGCATGGATCTCAGTTTCCAAAAACATGGGAAATGCCACTGCAGAGATTAGTCAACAAGGGGGTGGAGTCAGGGGCGGTGCAACCCATTAGGGCGCTAACATTTGGGGGGCGGTGACCGCGGCGGCCGGATCTTCGGCCACCTCGGTCGACGGCGGTATTTCGGGGGTGGGACTTCCGCCGCCTCTGTCGGGGGCGGTATTTCGGGGGTGGGACCTTCCGCCACCTAGGACGGCAAAAAAGCGGGGGGCGCTCCTGGGTGGAGTGAAGCAACCTCTCCCGCCCCATGTCTCTATACCAAACTCAGCACCATATTCTCTACTGGCCTTAGTGTCCTGGAGCTTAGAGGAGAGAAGGTCCCGAGGCCAATGGCTACGCACAGCCAAGACGGTAGGAAACCCTTTTACAGAATGATTTGCTAATCCCAGTGTATGGGGACTGAGCGCAAACTAGTGCTCCAGCCTCACTGGCAGGAAGAATTCAGCCTGCACTCTTCCATACAAGCGAGCAGGCGAACAGCTCTTCTTACATATCAGCCAACCCCCCACATGAACCGGGCTCACCTGTCATCCTCAGGCACCGGCCTGCTGGCTTTCTTTTGCATCATCTTCCTTTTCTCTTTCAGCAAGCTGGTTCCATTGGGAAAGATCCCTTCCATTAAGTCCATGGTTGTCTTCATTTTGGAGTCTGGATCCAGGATATCTGCTAGAGACTTATCCCTGTGGACGATTTCCTTGGCCAGGGCCTCTGACTTAATATCCTCCGGGGTCTTCTTCTTTATCACTTGAATAGCTGTGCCCTGAGTCCCGGGGCTGAGGCCACCATTTTCCGAATCCTTCCCCTGGGTGTCTGGCTCTTTCAGGTTGCCCCCGAGTTGTGCTGCATTCTGCTTTTCAGAGTTTGGCCGCTCCCCTTGAGCGGCAGGCGACTGGTGCGGTGACTCAGTGTTCCCAACAGACGGTGAAGCGGCCCAGCTGTTTTCCCTGCTGATGGAACTCAACCCCGGCTTCTCCCTGTCAGCCAGATTCCTGGGAAACCTGCTGCTGTGGACAGAAAAGTTCTATGATAAACATGGGGTGAAGGGCTCCTTTTGGACAGTGAAGGTACGGCACAAGCAAGAGAGGTGTATAGTAAATCACATTTCCCTTTCCACTCCACTTTCTCTGGTCTATTTGAACTGTAAGCTCTTTGGGGCAGAGACAGCCTCTCGCTAAGTGTTTGTACCTAGAAAAACCCACTCTAGGAAGCTAGTGGCGCCAGAAGTAAATGATCCCCATGACTCCGAACACGGTTGCTTCCTTATTCCAGTAAAGATCGAATGGGTGAGTTACAAACTTCTTGTGTTGGACAATATGGGGCAACTGTTGCGCTCACTCCCAGTGACACGTAACAAGCTGATCCTTACTGTGGGACCTTAAACTACAGCAGCCACCCTCCTAGCAAGCGTTCGGAGATCAGGTTCGTCAGCCCCACAAGGAAGTCAATCAGCTTGACATTCTCAAGCTGGGAACGAGAATAAGCCTGAACAGTTCAAATCCTAGCGGTCCTTTTCACACTGACACCAAAGGTTCCTTAACAACTCACTGCCACAGCCCTGCTAATAAAGTCAGGATGGGCCCGATCCTCAGCTGGTGTAACTTGGGATAGCTCCTTTGAAGTCCACACAGCTGCTCTAACTTACACCAGCCCACGGCCTGCTTTACAGGGCCGCCGACAGTGGGTGGGGGGGAAGGGCAGCAACGTTAAAGCGTTGCTGCGCCATCACTTTAAGGACAGTCTTTTGCTGTGGAAGCACTTCTAAGGATCCTCAAAGCGCTGCTGCGGCAAAGGACTGTCCTTAAAGCGCTTTAACGTTGCTGCCCCTTCCCTCCGTCGGCGGCACTGCCAGTAGGGTTCGTATCGGCAGAGCCGCCGACAGGGGAGACAAAAGGGACCCGGACATTAAAGCGCTGCCCTGGCAGGGCTTTCGGGATGGTCCTTTGCTGCGGCAACGCTTTAATGTTGCTGCGCCCCCCACCCATTGGCGGGGCCGCCGACGGGAGCGGGGGGGGGGCGCAGCAACGTTAAAGCACTACTGCGGCAAAGGACCCTGCAGCATTTTAACGTCCCTGCCCCTTTTGCCCCCCCGGCCGCTGACGGGCAGAGGGGGCAAAAGGAGCAGCTGCCCTGGGGCCAGCGATTTAAAAGGGCCCGGGGCTCCGGAAGCCGCTGCCCCTACCGCAGCAGCAGTGTCTGGAGCTCTGGGCCCTTTAAATCAACACAGGAGCCCTGGGCGACGCAGTCCAAGTGCTGGCTGGGGGATGCGGACCCCCCCAGCCCCGCCCCTTCCGCCCGAGGCCCCACCCCTTCCAGGGGCCAGAGCCACCCCCCGTACCGGTAAGTGTCCTCAGTTACTTTCACCCCTGGATCATCCCCCTCAAAACCTGGGACGTCCCTCTGACCACTGGAATGGAGAGCACCCACCGCAGCACATCAGAACCCCAGGACTGACTCTCCTCTCACGCAGCAGTGAATAAGGAGTAACTCCATTGAAGTCTGTGCTGTAACTGAGAGGAGAATCAGGCCCAGTATATTCTCTTAGTTACAGGCCCCAGTGATAGCATAGGTTTATGAGACACATACAGCTGCATAGGGCCTGTTTAACCAGGGACCCCCTTGCCCGGCCAGTGCCACCTACAGTAATGGACCTGCCAACTTTGGGTACTTACTCAGGCTCACAGATCTCGGGCTGCAGGGCTAAAAACAGCAGTGTAAACGTTCGGATTTGGGCTGGAGCCTGGGCTCTGACGGGGGTGGGTCTCAGACTCCAGGCTCCAGACCAAGCCCGAGCGTCGACATCGCTATTTTTAGCCCTGCAGCCCGAGCCCCACAAGGAAGAGTAGGTGCCGCGGGTTTTTTATTGCCGTGTAGGCGCCACAGAGCTTGAAAACCAGAAGGAACCATTTCACCTGCCCCGTTGTATAGCAGAGACCAGTCTCAGCATTCTCCTTCTTCCTTAGTGTCATTGATCCTTCCCTGTCCGCCCACAGAGCTAGAGGCTAGCAAGCCCTGGTGACAGAGACTTTGTCCAACTTCCCTGCTTTCCTTGCTGTGTGTGTACACACCCTAGAAGCCTTTCCTCTCAGCTGGTGGCTGTGAATGGGTCCCATGGGTATGCAATGCTGGGGGGGAGGGTGGTCCGTCACAGACGGATTGGGCCCGGCATATCTTACCCCTTATGGCCCTACAAAGACTAAAACTGACCCGGGAAGACACGATGGCGTTACAGCTCTCCCTTACCTTGCTTTGGCCTCTTCTATAAGCCTCGTGGATTTGTCTCCTGTTGCCCCACCTGCTTCAAATGCAGCCGGGGGAGGAGGTGGAAATATCTCTGCGTCGCCTGTGAAAGCGCTGGGGCTCCACTCAGGAAGAGGAGGAGGTGGTGGCAGAGGGGGTGAGGGTTTAAATGCAGTCCCTGCAACACCAGGCTGCAAGTCCTTGATAAACACCTCATCGTCTCCTTCTTCCGGCACGCCCGGTGGGGGAGTCAGCTGAAGGCCTGACTCGGAGATCCGCAGAGAGATCTTCCCAGAGGGAGGAGGCGTCTCTGAATCGGAAGAAGTGCTGCTTTGTGTCGGTAGGCTCTGCCATCTTTGAAAGAGCTTCTGCCCAGACACCTGAGAAGACACCGAGCCCTTTAGGAAGCTGTCATCATTGACCGAATGAGCCCATTTCACTTTTGGTGGGAAGTGTCTCTGAGGCAGCATGGCCCTTCTCTGTATCGCTTCTTCGGCTGAGTCCTCAGGGGAGCTGGCATCGCGGTACAGAGGCCGTGCCTGACCATTATCATTGCCTTCGGGGGGGACGGCGTCTAGTTTGGCACGTTGCCTCATTGCCAGGCTGTCCCCAGCAGCCTGCAGGCCTGAGGGAGTCTGGGTGGAATGAGCAGCGCTAGATGAGGACTGGCCAGGTCCAGAAGGAATACGGTTAAGGAGCAAGGGTCTGGCGCCCTGCTTAGGTTCAGAAGAATGATTCTTGAAGTCTGTTGGCGATGGGACACACCTTTGAGTCCTGCTGATATGCCTAGGGGGTTCTGAGGCCTGGTGGCTCTCAATCAGAGTGGATGAGCTTGTGAGGTCATTGCCAGGAGGATGGGGACGATAATTTGGGATTGTTGGCTTTTCAGAGTGGCTTCTTTTCTTACTGCTGTCGGACCTAAGACAAGATATAACTACCATAAATCTAACATTTTCATTCAGGGAGCAAACGTAGCTGCCATGTATCCCTTTAAAAAGCTAAGAACTCACATTAGACCTTAATACCGGAGGCATGCTGCCAATTTCTGCCTCCAGTTAAAGCTGATTTCAATGGGATTGCATGGGTGAAACCAGCAGTTAATTCTGGTCCACTTAGCATAGGCGCACAGATATTATGGTGATGGGCTGGGCACCATATAAGGACCTAGAGAAATAAAAATTACAACTAATCTATGAATAGGTTATTTTTTTCAAAGGCTGATGTGTAACAGGTTGAATAATCTGGTTTGAGGACTGTAGGAGAACTATATTTCTGTGGGCATGAGATTCATGAAGTTTGATCCAACTTACAGAAAACAGCAGAAACTGTAGCTAATAATGCAGGCAACATAGCAAATCATGTAGGAACTAAGCAACACAGCTATCTATACAGGGACAACCTAGGCCCAATGAATTAGTTATTTAGCTCCAGTCAGCATCTTGATTTATTATTGGCAGTGCAGGTAGCGACTCCTAGATTTAAGGTTGCCAGACACTTCTTATTAGAAGATTCTGTTTTCAGTTGCTTATAATTTTGCCAAATTTAAACTGTGTGGGTCCCATGCTGGGTGTCTGCTTTAAATTGATTTTTTTTTTTAAAGTTTCAGCTAAAATAGTTCAACTGCTTCCAAGAATGAGACTAGGGAGAGATATATTGTTTTATCCATCTTAAAAAATTCTTACAACTGTGAGGTCCTCTGGAAAAATAGCATATTTTGTACTATTAATGCAACTTATTAGACTTATCGTAATGCATACACACAAGGAGGACCCAAGTAAGCTTGCAGAGGCAAACTTAATTCTGACATTCCCTAACTTTTGAGTGCTCGACTTTGCAACATCAATGTTCTTTTAATGTAGGGTTGGGGTGTTGTGTGTGTGTTTTTTTTTTACATAGTGCCAAATGGGTTCCAGGCACTTTGCAGACAATACAAAGACAAGTACTTTGCCCCAGTGAGCTACCAATCTGAATGGACAACAGACTAAATTGTTCACACCACTTTTAAGGATGTTCTCAAATGAATCAGAAATACAGCACTAGTCTTATAAGTGAAAGCCCCACTTAGAACATCATATAAAACTCATCATATAAAACCTGAGCAGTTATTTAGCTGGAAAAGAAAATGAATGATAATAACAATTAATAATACATACAAGATATTCCAAGCATGCATTAGGCTGTAGAAAAAAAATCCTATAGCATTGCCATTATATTTGTATATAGTTTAAAGACTGCACTATTGAAATGATCTGCAACATGTGCTGTATGAGATTTGGGGCCAAAAGGTGCTTTAGGTTATGCTGGTGTACATCAGCAATAACTCTATCAAAGCCTTGGGGTTACTCTGGATTTACATTGGTGTAACTGAGAACAGAATTTGGCAGCTTATGGCTGGGAAGATGGGGCTGTCTGTGGTTCTTGGACAGCAGCGATGTGTGATCTTTGAGCCACTCAGTGTTTGTCACAAGGACCGGATGGTAGTTCTCCAATTTAGAGACCTGTCACACGGTAGGAACATTTGCTGATCCTCAAAACTGGTAGAGCCACATCAGTTACACATACGGCACTAACAACCCAGATGTTGGAACTTGGCAACGCAGCATACGGAAAGGAATACAAGTCAAGGGACCACATTAGCTCTAATGAGGTCTCATTTCACTTGTCCATTTAAAGGACTAACCCTGCTCTAACAAAGCTCTTTTTAAAGAAATAGGGCTGGATTCTGGTCGCCACTCTGGCAGCGTATAGAGCAACAACCGGGGAGAATTCCACTAGCATAGGAGCTGCATAGGTCTGGCATACGTGACCCTATATTGCTCCCTTTGCGCCCCTCGGCATCAGGGGTGCACTGGGGGCAAAGCTGGGAGAGGTATTGAGGATGTGAGGGGGAGAAGCTATAGCACTCAGAGCTTTAGCTATTCTGGGCTGCAGAACAGTCCATTGGCAGCCATAGGGAGGCTGTCATAAGGTAGCGCAGCCATTGGGGCTGCTCTAATTTACACCAGGGGTCACATTGGTCCCTGGCAGGTACAATCTGGGTGGCACAAAGGTGGCTTACAGCCACCTTTCCTCCCCTCTCAGGCTGTTCTCTCAGGAGGCGCAGCACAGAATGTATCACACTATATTGTATTCTAATGTGCCTGAACTGTTCTATATGGGCCAGACTGTGACCCTCTTACTCACACTGGGGCGCAGTGACTGGTGCAAGTAGTCCTATTGACTTCAGGGGGCCTCCTCATGTGACTTCACTGATGTGAGTAAGGGAATCAAAATCTGGCCTAACTGGGCTTTTTAAATCTGGGAAGGGTCCAGGCCTGTTCCCACTGAGGTCAAAGGCAAAAACTCACTTTAGTGGTGTAGGGTCAGACTCAAAACATTTGGTTCTGATATTAACACCCACAGCTGACACGGCTCATGTCTGCGTTAGCAGGTTACCAGGGTGACCAGAGGTCCCAATATGATCTGGACCTCCCGATATTAGGGGCTTTGCCCTATATACGCAACTATGTCCCTCCTCCCTCTCCCTCTCCCCAAAAAGTGCCCCAATTTTTCACACTTGCTATCTGGTCAGCCTACATGTCACAGTGGGGTTGATGAGACAAAACCACCCACAGAGGATCTTTTGTGGAGTCTCCAGGCAACACATGAGCAAAAAAGTGTCACCACCGAGTAGTGATCCATCTATGTTTTTTTCAAGCACATGAATGGCATGCACACAAAACCCAGGTACACAACGTGACATGGGCCCAGTGCAGGGCTGGGGTGAGTGGGCCCGTAACTTCCCAGAGTCAGAGGAGTTTCAGGGGTGTATTTGGTCCCTACAGCCATGTTTTATCTATCCAAAGAAGCCTGACCATTAAGTGCAGGGCACTTTACATTCCACTGGAAAATATGCTAATATAACACACGCGCTGCGGATGCAGTAGGAACATCACAAAGATGTGAAGATAGTAACAATAATCCAGGACTGCTGCTCTTGGCAGGAAAACACAGAACAGAATAACCCATTTCCTGCCCCTCTTGGCTCGCTTTCAGACCTGGTGTTAAATCCAGTTACTTAGAACGCTGCTTGGAACAGAGAAGGAAACAATGGAAGTGATAATGCAGTGAAGAATTATGAAACACTGAAGGTAAAAAAAAAATGGAGAGGGCAGGAATAGTTTAAGAATAAGAGCCAGCTGTGTCATTCTCTAATGAGCACTGCAAACATTGTTCAAGCCCTGTAGGAAAACTGCATGTTTTTAAATATTCAAAAATGGTGGCGACGTAGGGCAAAATTCTCTTCTGTGGTTTACACTACAAATCTCTAAGGGGCACAGGAGTTGCAAGACTGGATCAGAGCCATCTAATCCAATATCCTGTCTCTGACTTGCCCTGTCTTGTCCACCTGGACTGCATTTCCAGCACTCACTGCATTGTTGCCCCGATGCCGTTCGATGGGAATTTGGGAGATGGCTGGGGGTGTGATTCCCAACATGATGAAAGGGTGGAAAGTATCTTTTTTGTAGGTGGCCGGAGAGCAGAATTCCTTTTTGAATAATTATCTTAATACTGCCTGGGTTTTGTTGTGATCACACGTGTCTAGAGCTTTGTATAGGAGTCTTCTTAATATTTAAATAGAAACAAATACATAAAACAGATCAACGTGCAATCTGGTCAGTATCAAAAACCCTGTTACTTAGCAGTGTCAGTACTATGCATGCCCCTGCACCCCCTACCTATTTTGTGGGCTTTACAATCAAATTTAAATGTGTCCCTCCCCCGATACTGAGAGAAAGACCCTGACTGTACAGGGAAAACAAGGAAACTGCCTCACGGCAAAGCCCCCAGTCCAGCAAGGTACCTAACCACCTGCCCACCTATAGCCAATGGGAATGTTCATGTGCTAAGATTAGGTACCCTGCTGGATCAGGGCCAAATCATCATACAGGGACATTAGGGTAATTTTCCTCCAGTTTCTCTCAGTTGTGGTTGTAGAGATTTACAGAGACCCAGGAACTTAAGACGTGACATTTAACAATAGCAGGTCAAACACTGTCAGAGAGAAGTGTTATTTTTAAGTTAACGGGACTTCTGCATACTAAACGAGGACAGACCATGCTACAGAAATGTGCATCGGGGACAGGAGATCTGAGAGAAGGGTTTTACCTTTAACTAATTTCTATGCTGAAAAACAAGAGCTAACAGCAGCTTAGCCCCTCTAACTCTCCCAGGTGAGCCACATAAGACAACCAAAATGAGGTCTCCCAGTGCACTCAAAGCATATGGTTTGTCCAGCTCCTAATATCCCATTCATTTAAATCGAGGACATATTACAGTTGCTGCCAACAACAAAGGGGTTAGCACCAGCAGCTGGAGAAGAGACATAAATATAAACCTACCTGTCTCCTGCGCCAGCCATGTAAGAAGGATTTTTCACCAAGTGGCCAAATTCATTACTTTCCCCTCTCAGCAAGTCCTGGAATGCAATAAGGAGCAGAGTGAGCAGCAGGTTGAAAACGGCTGAAGCTTCTTAACACCAGAGCACTCGGTGTGTCATTTACACTGGGAAGTCAAGAATGGGAGTGTGGTCTAGTGGTTAGAATAAAACTACGCCACCAGGGAACTTCTGAGGTGCTAGCTAAACCAAATGGATTCACCCCAGCTAACACACGGAGGCCTGCTCAGCAGCATTTCTACCACCACCCTCCCTAAGAGGTTCCACAGAAGGATGGGGGCCTACGTTCCCTTCAGAGGTGCCCCCCGGTGAAGGCTGCTGTGGAGATGCCATGAATCAGCCATTACCCTCACTTCCCCGGCCAACACCGCTCCCTTTCCTGCTGCCCTGGCCACCTGCTGGTCACCCAAGGAAGGGGAGATTGTGGTGGTTTTCCGTGGCTCTGTGGCCTGACTTACCTCAGTGGAAGCCAGAGTTGAATATTGCCCAGAGACTGAAAGAGCCTTCAACCATACTGTGATTCTGAGGCTGCCATTTTCCTATCATGCCCTTCCTCTGATTGGCAGGACAGCCCGTGCAAGCACAGCACAGATCTTGCTCCCATTACAATCAACGGAAGTTTTGCCCCAGGTGGCTTAAATGGGAACCGGATGAGGCCTGTGACTTCCTAAGTGGAAGCTAATTGTCAGTACTGCAGCGGTGCTCAGCTGGCCAGGGTAATGGTGCCGTGTAGCAGCAAAATCCTTTTTCCTAGGACACCAAGCCATCATGTAGCTCTTCCTCACCAGAGCTCCACCCAAGCCTAGCCGGCTCACCACCACTGCTCCACTGTAATGAGTCTCTCCGTCCTTTCGGAGTCCATTTCTGACCATGCGCCCACCGCCAGATCTTCAAAGACTCCCATTTGGACACCAAAATAAATGGCTGGATGTCCAAGGACCTCAGCAGGTTGGCTGCTTGGCTCTTTGGAAAGGCTAGTCACTTGTCTCCATGGGAACTTGCTGGGTGCTGTGCACATTTGCAAGTCCAGTGTTGAACACTGAAAAATCTGACCCTGAGTTCTTTTGGAAATCTGGTTCGGATTGCTTCCCCCATAGGATTACCCGACAGGACAGTAAATGCCGAGCATTCATTTCAAGAGCTCAGCCTCTCCTCCCTAACTTTTCTGCTGAGGTTTTCAATTTAGGGCCCTTCATTTCAATTTCCCCCTGGTTTTGTTTGTTCTCTTTCCATTGTTGAGCATGGGAGGGGGAGGGTTTGGGCTGATCTTGATTTAGAAGCTGAAAGATAGGCAAGCAGAGAAAGAGAGGAAGACAGAGACTGTGCTCTGCAGACAGATGGCTAATAATTCCACACGGCTATCGATTTCCTCCCATCTTGAAACAAATTCCTACAGCGACACTGTGCTGGGGTTCATATTCAGCATGAAGAGAACAGCATATACCATAAGCGAAGCGCTGAATAGCATACAATGAGCCAAAGAAGTCTGCTTATAAAATGGGAATGAATGTTTTCCACAGAGGAGCTGAGCTGGTTAAAAAAAAAAATTGTGTGTTCCCCTTCTCACACACACTTTTACATTTTTGGTTCTGTACTGTGGGCTCTAGCCCCAATTCCGAACAACATCCCTATTCATGAAAGCAGACGCTTAACTTAAGTCCCAGTGGATTTTTAAGTATGTGCTCGAAGTTAAACATAAAGATGCTGTCCTGAATCAGGGTCTAAGGGTACGTCTATACTTACCTCCGGGTCCGGCGGTAAGCAATCGATCTTCTGGGATCAATTTAATGCATCTTCTCTAGACGCGATAAATTGATCCCGGATCGATCCTGGAAGTGCTCGCCGTCGACGCCGGTACTCCTGCGCCGCGAGAGGAGTACGCGGAGTCAACGGGGGAGCCTGCCTGCCGCGTGTGGACCCGCGGTAAGTTCGAACTAAGATACTTCGACTTCAGGTACGTTATTAACGTAGCTGAAGTTGCGTATCTTAGTTCGAAGTGGGGGGTTAGCGTGGACCAGCCCTAAGAGTAAAATTTTCAATAGTGTCTAATTGCTTTAGCAGCCTAAGTCCTATTTTCAAAAGTCAAAAGCCTAAAGCACTTTTGAAAAGTAGGACTTTGGGTCCTAAATCATTGAGGACACTTTTGAAAGTGTTACCCTTACTGCTGGATTTAAGCACATGCTTAAGTGATTTCCTGAACTGGGGTCTATTAGCGTATCTGCACAGTTGTTTCTCTTCTTCCCAGCATCAGTTCCTCAGCTCACACCATTTGGCACCTTCAATCTCACTAATGCATGCATGGGGGAAAAAAGCAAAAACAAGCCAACAGGAAAAATAATAATAAAAGGTCTCAGGATGCTCACAATTTGTGCCCCTGACCGAGACAACAGGCTTGGTAAACAGAAGCTTGGAACAACTGGTTTCCAGACTGCCATCGTAAAGTACCTTTTAGTGGCTGGGAAAAAAATATCTTCTGTCTGTACTTTCTCATCTGGAATCCTGTTTATTTTTGTTCCTGCTCTGAAATGCACCAGGAGTCAGAATGGGCTTTGCTTCTTGGCTTTCACAATAACTCTTTCTTAAGGATATGTCCTCTCATTGAATATGAAATGTTTCACAATTGACAGCAGTTGTAGTAATGTTATGTAGATAGGTCCATTCTCCAGAGTGGGGGGAAAAACGATGGGGGTGTGTGTGTGTGTGTGAGCACTACCTAGGTAAGGTGTTCTAGCCATTTGATATTTAGGTGCTGTTTTTTATGCTTTCCATTTAAAAAGCAGCAAAAGGACTGACGCATTTCAAGGTGGGAGATTTAAAGTGAAGTGTATGATGGGTTTAGGAAGGGCAGACTCCCATTCTTGGTGCATTTCAGAGAGGCTCTCACTCAGCAGAGTGAGATTCAATCCTTATTTAATTTATTCTGCTAAATACTAGAATATTGCAACTGGATACATTTTTTTTTACAGTGGCAGCGGTTCCAGATGCAGATGCTCTTGTTGAGTGGAGCTATCCCTTAAAACCTGGGCCTACGTGGGCAGCCAAGAAACATTTTTAGAAAGAATTCTGCCTATAGAGCTTTCATGCTGTGTTTTCGCTCCATCTCCCTCACCCTCTCTCTCTCTCTTTCCAACGAAGGGACCCTATATGAAAACGGTGGGACGAATCAGCCTATTGGTGTCAATGGAGCTATACTGATTTACACCAGCTGGGGACCTGGCCCGGGATCTTGCTTTCTTTGAAGTTCATTTGCTGCCAACAGAGTCACTCAACCCTCCCCCCATTTGTGACATCATCACGATTTTCACAACAAACGATTGGATGTGGAAAATATTGGCCCAGTTTCTCCTCCGCAGTTGGACTGTAGGGGGATCCTCCAGGGTTGAAGAGGTAATTTAATGGCTCCTAAGGCATACCCCTTCCTGCAGGCAGCAGAGAGGGCTTGGCTGGGGGAAAGGGGCGCATGGCTGGGCTTTCCTGCACCCCAGCTGTTGTAGTGGCCTTTGGGGGTCATTAGTGCCCCTAGCCTGCTCTAATTTATGCCAGGGAAATGGCCCGCTGCATTGCAGCTCTAGGCTTGGGGGAGCAGAAAGGTGACTTAAGGACCCCTTTGCACACCCCTTTTCGGAGTTGTGCTCCGTGCTTCTGAGCTGCAGCCAAGTCTCTAGACCTAGGCTTTCAGACGAGGAATAAGCAGCAGGAGCAGATGTACTCTTAAAAGCATTTACACCAACATCCTTTCCCCAAGCAAAGCTCCCTAGCGTTAAGAAAACAGGGGAAGAGAAAGACAGGAAGGCTGTGCTACCCAGCTAGCCGGCATTTCAAACTGCCCCAGGCTAATTTAAACAGACCATATGGGCCATATTGCAGGGCACATTTAACCGCATTGTGAGTACGGATAACTGAATGTCAGGCTAGCATCATAACACCCCCAGCCTGTGAATATCAGCTGGACAATGGACTTACCCGGTGTTTCTTGTCAGCTGTGGGAGACGACCTGGAGCGCACATGCACCGTGACTGACTGGTTATCAGATCTATCGAGCAAGTCTTCTGCAGACACCGATTTCCCAGATCTCCCGGGCAATGAGGCCTTTTCAAAGACCTGCTCCTCCATCCTGTAGAGGAGCTGGTCGCGTGAGCCACGCTGACCTGCCTGAGTGCTTTTCGGGAGCTCCGGTTTGGCTCTGTAATCGCGGCGTCTGTCCATTTTAAACTGGCTTGCAGAGGAACTGCTGCCGCCATCCTGGTGCCCTTTCTTTTGTTCAAGCCCATTGAGATCAAAGCAGCCCGTCAGCCCAGGGGGAAGGGTAGAGGAGACCCGGCCTGTTCTAGACACCTGCTCTAGTGACACTCTCCGGTGGTAAAGCTTCTGATCCTGAAGCGAATTCATGCTGGAGGCAGAGGAGAGGCTCTGGCTGTCCAGGCCGCTGGCTTGCAGGTAGGAGCTTTGCGAGCGCTCTCTCGGGACCCCAGCATCGTGAGAAGGCCGCTTCCCAGTTTTGCGTTCGATGTAGTCTGCGAGTGCGTTCTGCTGCAGCTGCTTCAGCTCTGGCTTGGAGAGATTGATGGTGGAGCGAGCTTTGTTCTCTCGCTCAAAGATCTTGCGCCGGTCAGCCACCGTGTTCTCTGGGAAGATGAAATGGAGGCCTTTCTTCTGGGGGGAGAAGGGCGAGGGCTCACGGTCTGAGACACCCACTTCGTTTATTTTCTCTGGCTCGGAGTAGGACCTCTTCTTCTGCTCGGCCGTCAGCCGCTTCCTGCCCCCGATGCGGGACATGTGCTGTGGCAGCCCAGCGTGGCTCTCCTTCTCAGGGTAATCCAGGAGAGGGACATTGTTCTGCGTAGGAGTGACGCTGTGCCTCTCCTTGGGGATGTGAGGGGATGCTGTGGTGCTCCTCATCCCAACGTGGGCCGAGGCCGGCCTCTGTGCACTCCTCTTGGGTTTGCTCCCAAAGGATGGGCTGATGTCGAGGTCTTTGCGCCTGAACGATGTGGCTCGTAGGACCTTGGACTGAGCGTCTTTAATGCTGTTTCTGTAGTTTCTGCTGAAGGAGGTGTCCAGCTGTGTTCCAGGAGCGTCTTGGACGTTATCCTGCCACAGGATTTCCTTCTCTGGCTCGCACATCAGCTGGAACGTGCTTTTGCTCCTTGTCAGACCGTAGTACTCGCTCTGCTGCGCCTGATTTGCTGCCCCCGCCATCTGCTGCTCCACCGGATGCCAATCAACCTCCTCAGGCTTCGCGCTCCCGTTCCTGCTCACCGGCTGCACACCCGCCGGCGTCTCAGAGCCAGTCGTGCTGGGTCGCCTGCACTGTTCGCTGGCTGGCTGGCCATGCTCTTGGGAGTTTGACTTGTTTCGTACGTCCTCTGTGCTGTTAAGAGAGCACCTAGCGCCGGATGATTGGCTTGGCCTATTTGGCCCATAATTATGTCCAAAGCTGGGCACCCCCATGCTCTGGGGCCTTTGACTGCCTTGCTCACGTTGCTCGATCTTGCTGACCTTCTCCAGCACAGAACAGTGGGGCTTGCTGGATTCCAGTTTCCCGGGCTGGAGGCTTTGGGTGCTGCTGGAGCTTAGCCGGCTCCTGCTGAAATCGGAGGCCTTTGGCTGCAGCAGAGAAGAGGGCGCCTCGTACTTTGGCTCTGCATTGTGGAACGGGGCCATGCTGGCGACGTCGTCCTCATGCCGTGTGAAGGCTTGTCTGTCCAAATCGTGCCACTGGCCACACCCTGGCCCTCTCTGATCCTTCTCTGCTTTATTATTGCCATTGGTGAAAGACCGTTTGGCGTCAGAACAGCCCTCGCATTGTTGCCTTTCCTTTAGCTCCAAACTATGCTGCCTCCTGGTGCTCTCCAGGCTGTTCGGCAAGGGTGAAAAGCCAAGCTGCTTGGCCTTACTGTAAGACCACTGATTCTGGCTGGCGGGGTCTCTCTCACTTTTCTGTAGATTAGCATTTTTGTCCTCCTGCAACTCAGCCGCCCAATACTCCTTGGGCTGATAGAGAGCTTTGCTTTCACTGGCATCCCTCGCGTGGGCCTGCAGTGGCTGTGAATTGTGGTTGGAGTGTGGGGGGTTGCTTGTGCTCTCCCGGATGCCATGCGACGTCACATAAAGGGAGCCTGACTTGTCCTTTTGGGAAGGGGGAGAATGGACGTCAGGGCCCGATGTACTGTGAGGTTTGTACTGAGCGAATTTTGCTTCCTGCTTTTTCTCCGCAGCCGGTGGCCCGTAGTCTGGCCGATAAAAGACGGCCGATCTGTTTGTAAAGCTTTGGTTTCCATTCTCATCGACGCCAGAATGGCTGCAGACCGGGGCCTTCTCATACGAGGCTGGAAGAGGTGGAGCGTATCCACTCTCTTTGGCCAGAGCTGGATAGAGCATCCCATTATTGCTTGCCGAAGGCTGGGGCACCTGGGCAAAGTGTGGCTCGGGGGAAGGTACAGGGTAGACGCCGGTAGGAAGCAAAGGCTGTCCTGGCTGTGCTGCCTGGGAATAGCTCTGCTTCGGTTTCACTCTGGGGCTGCTCTCAGGGCTTTTCTCCACCACGGTGTGCAGCTGCCCTTCCACAAACATGGGTTTCAGCAGCTGTCCCTGCCCCAGGGAGACAGTGCCAGACGACGGAGGCCAGGCCCCTTTCGGCTGAGCTCGACACGGCCTGTTTTGATCGAGGCTGGACCAGGAGCTGGGCCTCTCGTGGTGCCTTATTGCCGCATAGCTGTCACTGCGAGTTGGTGGCATGGGGGGCCCTTTTGGGTGCTGACCCTCACTGTCGGAGGAGCTCCTCCTTTGCTGGCCCCAGAAGGGGACTCCACTGTACCGGCTGTGACCAGGCAGCCTGCTGTAGCCACGGCCTTCTGTCTGCGTCCGCCCCTCGCCGCTTGGACGCAGCGTGGAGGAGTTCACTTCGTACTCCTCAGAGACCCCTCGCTGGGCGTCGTAGACCGTCTTGACGTACCTGATGTCAGCCTGCCTCATCCCCTCCTGCGGGCTGCCTCGGGAGTGCACGTTGTCCATGGAGAAGGAGCGCTCCTTGCAGAAGGAAGGCGCCGGGCACTCGGGGATGCTGGAGTTGGTGGAGAAGGAGCTGTAGGCGGAGTCCCTCTTGCTGTGGAGTTGGGCAAGCTGGTCGATGCTGTTGGTGGACTTGGCTGGCGAAAGGTGGCCAGGGGGATATCCAGAAGGGGTATGGTCCAAGGTTTCCATGCTACCCCACGAGCTGTACTGGTCAGGGCTTCTCCTCAGATAGCCATGGTCATAGCCAGAGAGATCACTCGTGGAGGAACTAGAGGAGAGAGAGAGAGAGAAGGGAAAAATAGACTGTTAGCAAGAGAGGCATGCTTTGGCTTATAAACGAGCTCAGAGGCAAGATGTTTAGTTTTTAGAAGAACAGACGAAAACCCATATTTGGGCCTGACTCTGTTCGCTGTCTGCAGTCATCTTGGTTTACTAAGAGAAATTGCTTGACATTGCAACACATGTCTCCTATTTATCACTGGGGGGTGGGGGGGGGGGGAAAGGCGGAAGCACTGTGCAAGCTTTGGAGCCAGGGAAGATTTGCCGCACCCATCAAACCCATCCAAAGCATTTAAAAAATAAAAATAAATGCAGATGCCAGAGAGGGAAAGAGCAAGGGAGTAGGAGTGGCTTCTTGGAGGAGGAATTGAATCTCTCCCTTTTTTTCCATTTTTTTTCTTTTTATGGAGTTGAAGGCTACACCCTGGCAGTCTTCCTGGAAACTCAACTGTAGCAGAGAAATTTTGTTTGCTGTGAGAAAACTAAACAGACAAGACAGAAGGGAGATGGGGGGCATGTATGTGTGGATGTCTGTGTGGGAAGGAAATTACAGTAGTGTTTTGATAAGACCCCAGGAAGTCTTTACAGCCCCACCGCGGATGTAGTTTAGCAGGCAAGGGCGTTCCCCGTTAAGGGATCTGCAGAGCATTAGCTAGGTCAGATATAAGTTGGTGGAGGAACCTCTGATGTGGTCCCTGGAAGTCTGTCTGTCCATAAAGAAGACTATTCAAGTAGTTACTGGGAGGGAGGTAGCTGCTCTTGTTCCAGACATACGTATGTTTCAGAATGGGTTTGTTCACATGAAGGGGGAAGGTGTGGAGGTTTTAAATTGTTGGGAGGGACTTTCTGGGCTCACAACCCCTGTTTCACTCCATCAGGTGTTTCTGGGGCTGAAGAGGGTAATTTGAGGTACTACTTTTCCTCTCCCTCTGTCCTATGCAGCTCTCCCTCTGGACACAGATATCCTCATTCCCCTACACAAGGCGCTGAGCAGGCTGCCCCATCGCACTCCCAGGCACTCTGGGAGCAAGGATCTGAGCTGGGAAGCACCCAGCAGCTGGGGTTTGGTAGTGTGCAGACAACAGTCACACGGTAGCCACTTGGGGTGGTTAGTAGTCACACACTCAGCTTAGAAATAGCTGTATTTCCTGGACTGGCAGGCCCAGTTCTTGCACAGGCCGTTCACCTTGCTTGCTCCACGCACGTGCCTGTCTGTGTGCACGTCCGATGAGATTGGAGGCGCTGACCATCCACAACAGCCATTGGAGCTTATGGGAGTTGGGGATGCTCGGTAGCTCTGAACAGCAAGTTACCAGGTCCTCTGAGGCAGCTGGTGTAAGGTGAAGCAGCCCCCAGGCTAATCTGTAGTCACTAAAGAATCCCTGGTACTTCTCAAAACACATTCGTGCTGTAACTTCCCCAGGCACAGCTGGACTGAAGGAGCTAAGCTGTGCAAAGAACAGCTAGAAAGAGAGATGGGTGGATAGCCTTAAGGAAAGGCAGCGAGAAGGACTCTGCCTGCAAAGCAAAGCAAAGGATAAGATAAGCGTAGAAAGGGGTGCAGAGACACATATACGGACATGGAGGGGAATAAGGTCAATGAAACCTCAGAACAGCCACGTTGTTCACGTCCGGTGTCAGCTGCTGATCTGCTTTCACATTTTATTTTAGTTGTTTCTTTTTTTAATGAACAGCGGACTATGGGTTTCAGACCCCGACAGCCAGACTCTCAGCCAGGGCCCCGGCAATCCACCCAGGGAAGTGGACGCGTGGAGCTGGCAAACTGACCACTAGATGCCACTGGCGTTCCTCATTAAAAACACCTGGAGGAAAAAGCATCCTTGGCCGCAGCGAATCCAGGCTGGAGTTTCTCGGCCAGAAACGCAGCAGCTGTGATGCAAAGCCCCTCGCTGGCAGCTGAATGGGCTACTAACGGGATGATTTGAGTGGAGGGCGAACCCGCATTTCTACTGTAACTCCTAGTTTGTCTTCCCCTGCCCCGCCGCCCAGGCTCTTTGGAGCTGGTTCTTGGCTGACATTTGCAGTGCCAGCGTTTAAGTTGCCCAGAGGGTTTGCACAGAGGCTGTGTGGACAATCCCTCCTTCGGAAGCCCATCTGCCTTTCAAGGGGAAACAAAGAGGGTAGAATTGTGAACATCTCTCTCCAGACTGCCCATGACACTTACTGACAAGTGTCTTCTGGAGCTTCTTAGCGCAGTCGGAAAGAGAACCCCCCCCCCCCACAGGCTGGGATCATGGCATTCATTCAAGTTTGCAGCCTAAATAATGGCTGGAGGGGTCTGATCCCATATTCTTTTAACAGAACTAGGATCCCAGGCCTAGTCTTCTGGGACTGGTAACCCACCACACTGACTTAGGAGGGAAACACACACATCATTATGACTCTGACCCCTGCAGAAAGCAGTTGGCAACATCAGGAAATCCCTCACTGAACGTCTCACCCTGGGAGGACCATCAGTGATGTAATACCTTTGGCGATAGTGACTGCTCATGAAAGCAGCTTGTTGCACTGATAGGCGATGTTTCCATGCTGCCTGGGTCCTTTTCTTATTTCTTTTTATTTGCTAATTTTTATTCCACTTTTTTTTTCTTCTTCGCTGGGGAAAGGAACAGGGTGGAGAACGTTTGTGAGGTCTTGAAGGCCTGGGAGTGTCTCTCTCAGATCCTATTATAGCTAAACACATTTTTAAAAGTGTTCTGTCTAACATGGGTTTAAAGGAGTTGCCCAGTCAGAGTAGAGCAGGGAACACAATGTTTAATCGGTTTAGGAACCAGTTTTCAGGACTAGCTCTAGGTCTTGAGCTGTTATATCACAGTAGTACAGTAGGACTTGGTAGGTCCCTACCTAGAGTTGGTATCTAGCTCTCAGTGCGATGCTGAGATTTGACTCAGACCCGACCGAGACGGTGGGAATACAAGGCCAGCTTTTTAAGGGAGTTCATCACCAACTGTTCCCATATAGGCACCTAAATAAAATGCAGCTGGCCACTTCATTTGGATGCCACGTAGGAGCCGAGGGCTTGTAAAAATCCAGCCCCAACTGTGGATGATGAGCGCTTTTGAAAATCTTGCCTGTATATATTAGGGCCAACACGGAGCCTCATTGAAGTCAAGTGAGGCTCTAGGGATCATTGGAGTGCATTGTTGGCTCAGGGCCTTAGCTTAGAAGCCTTGTGAACTGGTCTTACTACGTGTATGTAAAGTGCCGACAGGAGCTATGTAGACAAATAATGATAATAATCATAGTAGCCAAATAGTGCAGTCATTACCAAGTGCTTGACCCAAAGCCTAATGAAATCACTGGGTGTCTTTCAACTGACTTCACTGAACTGTATGTCCTTACACACATAAAATTACCATTGAAGTCAATGGGAGTTTTGCTCGTGTAAAGACTGGGTAAGGACTGGCAGGATCTGTCCGAATGCACCGAAGCAGGTTGCAGTAGACAGGCAATTTGGCAGGGATGACTGATTTTATTGCTCAGAGAGGAAGGATATTTCTATGGATGAGTAGAGAGTTTTCTTTTCCTGGAATGATACACTAAACAAAAAACAACTCTGCTGTATTCCTCTGAGTTTTACAGTACATGGCCAAGACCACATGGCCCTTACCTGGAATGGTAGGACTGATGCCAAGGAGTGCCAATCGTGCCCTGAGATATTTGCATCATGCTGGGATCGGGTTGGTTCTCTATGAATTTGGTTGAATGCCAGGAGTGCGGTCGGCCCACAAGTTCAGCCCGCCTAGGTAGAAAGAGAGAGGGATCCGAAATATTAGCAACACCCAGTCATTCGGCTCCTTTGTCTGGGGTAAGAGCCATGTAAATGGACATTGGCAAATAAATGTTAATCAGCACATATCACTCCTCAGGCTTCTGTTTGCTGCTGCTTTTCAGGCAATTAATTTGAAAGAACACTGAGTTATCCACCCATGCTGCCATATGTACACATGACAGCACACATTCACATCCAGGCACACTCATCCTCATGCCAATACATGCCCATCAGCACATACTCTGATATGCTGACACACATGAATATACATGAACATAGTGAGCATAAATTCTGTTCACATAAACATATTCAAAGATTGTTACCAAGCCCACTGGCTTCTTGTAGAGATTTTTCCTTGTGTATCTTAATTGCAGACATGGGCGCTGATCCAGCAGGATGATGATCCCTTGTATCCACAAGAAAAATTAGGCCATAACACCATTTCACTATTTTTTTGCAAACCATTTGCTAAAGATTCCTGAAGAACAAACCATTATTTCAGTGTTAAGGGCACCTTTGATCTTCAGTGAAGGAAAGAGATCTGTTTTATCCCGCTGTTATGACAGGATCTCATTAATAAGAGCTGAACTGAAAATTTAAAAAGGAGGAGCTGAACAAATCAAATTTTCCCCGTAGGTGTGTTTAAACAGAGCTCTTTTGTTCCATCCCTTGCCAAGAAAACAAGGAAACTGAATGTGGTCGGGTGGGAGGCTGACAGAACTGGATTAACGAAGTAACTCATACTGTCGCCTTCTCTTATTCCTGAAGTGTCCCTTCATAACACGAAGAGACTTGGGGATTTAAAGGCTCTCTTTGTAGTTTTGGGAGAAGCAAAACCTATGCCATTTTCATTTCTTGTTTGGGAAAGCCCATTGTTTGACAGATAGAAGTATGTTTTCACTTGAATCCTTCAGCAAAGAGCTGTAAGAATTGTGCGGCCCAGTCCTCTAAGCCATTAATACTTTAAAAGCAATTCAACCAACAATCCTGTGATAGCATCATGAGTAAACAAGGAAGCTGTGAATCTAACTCAAAAGACAAGCACTACAAATGTAAGTGTGGGATAACCTTGCATTGTGTCCACACCTACTTGTTGCTGAAAATGTGGATTAAGTGTAATAGAATCTTAGGAGAGTTTAAACTAATGGTGGTGGTGGGTGCTTTGGTACAGGTGACCACCTGCTCATGTTGCACAAAGTCACGTACGCAAGCTCTGTGGAAAATCGGAGACTGAAACATGTGTTTGTGCACCAAACTAACAAGACTAAATGTAAATGCTCCTTGTGACTTCACTAGGATTGGACCCAAAAGTCTACAGATAATTGTTCAGCTGATGTCTTCTGTGTAAGTGTATGTGTGCACCCATGTGCATGCGGCACAACAACATAGGTTCCTGGCATGTGCCATCTAACACAGGATTAGGCAAGGAGCTTGCTCTTTCAGGTATTTGCACAAATCTAGTTTACTCCTAGTAAGGCCGTCCTTAGAGGAAGGAGACTGGTGCAATTGAAACGACTGGATCTGCAGCTGAATATTTACCTCCAATTGTGTATTATGGGAAGATGACCACATTTAACTCATCAAAGCAAAGCACTGGTTTACCAAAGGCAGGTCTTGATAAAAAACATTCCATACATGTGTTTTACCCCAGGGTACAGGTTCCAGGTACCAATATAAAATCACTGCAAGAGTAAACATTTTTTTTAAACGGCCATAGAACTGGCTTTGGAGAGGCTGCAATATTGTGAGAACCTGACTCTTATCCTAGACAGATAGGCACAGTTGTAAGCCTCTTAGTACTGCAGTTAATTTCTGACTCAAGACAAACAATGAGCCAGACCCTCCGCTGGTGTAAATCAGTGTAGTTCCATTGGCGTCAGTGAAGCCAGGCCAATTTACAGAAACCAGGAATCTCGCCCAGAAAGTAAGTATTTCAAAAGGCAAAACTGCTCCAGCCCTGAGCCCCCCCAAACCCGGAACCCCTTCCTGCACCCCAAACCCCTCATCCCTGGCCCCACCCCAGAGCCTGCACCCCCAGCCCTGACCCCCTCCCGCACCCCAACCCTCTGCCCCAGCCCTGAGCCCCCTCCCCAAACCCAGAGCCCCTCCTATACCCCAAACCCCTCATCCCCGGCCCCACCCAAGCCTGCACGCCCAGCCCAGAGCCCTGACCCCCTCCCGCATCCCAACCCCCTGCCCCCAGTCCAGAGCCCCTGAACCCCTCATTCCCAGCCCCACCCCACCACCCTCACCCCTGCACCCCAACCCTCTGCCCCAGCCCTGAGCCCCTCCCACACCCCAAGCCCCTCATCCCCAGCGCCGTTTGATCGTGGGCACCAACAATTTTCTTCAACTGGGTCCCCAGAAAAAAAGTTTGAAAATCACTGATCTAGACCATCCCTGACAGGCGTTTGTCTAACCTGCTCCTACAAACCTCCAATGGCGGAGATTCCACAACCTCCGTAGGCAATTTATTCCAGTGCTTAACCACCCTGACAGTTATGATTTTTTTCCTAATGTCCAACCTAAACCTCTCTTGCTGCATTTTAAGCCCATTGCTTCTTGTCTTACCGTCAGTGGTTAACGAGAACAATTTTTCTCCCCCCTCCTTGTAACAACCAGAGCGGGTCTGATTCTCCTCTCACACCTTTTTAACATCAGTGTTGCTCATTTCATGTCACGGAAGTTTCATCTGACTTAGATCAGTGTAGCTGAGAGGAAAATCAGGCCCAGTAGCTGAAAAGTATTTGCTTAATTTTGACTGAGTTCCTGATCAAAAGGAAAAAAAAATTATCCTAATTTCTGTGCTGATTTTGAGAAAAGAAATGAAGCATACCTGGGAAAAAGCTTTTTGGTCTCTTTAAAAACAAAGAAAAACAGCAATGGGAAAAGGCAACAATGAGAAATTGAAATTCACTTGCTTTTATCAGTGTGTTGAAAATTACTCTTATTTCAGTGTTTATCTTGTACTATGGAGCTGTCTGGGTTAGTCAGGAACAGTTCGCTTCTCAACTGCTATACATGCCTATTCATTTTATAGTGCAAAGATATGGATCCTGTAAATCATGCCTAAGGACTGCACTTACAACAAGCATGGAATTTATTCACTGTCTGACATATCTAGTGATTTACTAGGGAAATTCCTAGTGTTGTGAGGAAGTTATACAAAGCTCTTGAAGCTATGGATTGTGGTAAATAGTGTGCTGTGATAGATAGATAGATAGATAGATAGATAGATAGATAGATAGATAGAT